CGTCGTACAAACTCCATTACAGTGTAGATGGGACTACTTGGGCGACATATGCCAGCAGTGATGGCTCAGATAAGGTAACGTAGATACTACAATATACGTTCTTAAATGTAGCTAGTAATATCACGGTGGTTTGATTCGGGCCCCAATGTCCCCACATGCTGTAGAACCCGAACCGTGTTCGATCTGACGTAATTCGAATCGAACGACGTTCGATCTGGTGTCACCCGCGGTCATTTACAGTAAACCGGGGGTTTCAGGCCCTTTTTACATGAACGCCTCCTAACAAAAAAAATCACAATATATCACAAAAACAAACCGTTTCCTGGACAGTACATGTACGCTTATCATTTTGTTATGGACGTGAAACATGTAGCGAAGCTACTGTCGTAGCCGTGGGTGACCTTGACTATTGCAATGATTCTTTACGCTAGTATATGAATATCGCACTCCCCAGTTTCAGGCAAGTTGACATGCCTCCAAAACTCGAGCAAACCTGGACGCATGGAGAGCCCAACCTATCTCATTTGCGGCTCAAAATGACTGTAACGGCTTTCCCGACAATCGTGCTTTTGGGATTTTTGAAAAATGCGCTTGATTTTGAATTATGGGTGATTGAGTGCAAAAAAAGCTAACAAAAATCGATTTCTTCACCTATTTGTCCACAAAAACTATACTTAGAGTCAGAAATTCAAAAATCCCAAAAGCACGATTTTTCGTCTTATTCCTAGTCGTCGAAAAATATAAAAATCAGTGATCTTGCGTAATATATCTAGCCAGGTTTGCTCGGTGATTGGCTAAAATATGGCTCTCCGAAATCCAGCAAATTATCGACTTTTTTAACGGAATCCGAAAAAATCATCCATTTAGCGCAAAAAATAACGCCATTGAAAGTATGTAAAGACGATAATTTTATTTTATTTGAACGAAAATTTCCCTTCGATACTAGTTTGTTTATTTTCAAATGTTTTACGGTTAGCCCAAAATAGCGTCTTGTAAAGAATGCCGTAGTGACAGACCGCCGTGTATATGAGTCATATCCACTTTAAAATGTGACGCGCTCTTACAAAGCTGTCGAAACTTAATTGCACTGTACTAGTCCTCTGCGTTTGTGGCGACAAAAAAAATCAAGTGTTTTGTCACCACGTCTAGTATTGAAATAAAAAACGGTCCCCAACTGATCACATTTTCAATTTCAATTTAATTTTCCCCTTCGAAAATGTTTTTGGCAAATGTCGAACCTTGGCCAACGTAAAGGTGCCTAATCATGGCACATGTATGGAAGTCGGCAGTCCAGGTTAACCTTAATGAATACTCACCAGAAAGTGTAACTATGTCCTCATCTGAATCGTTCTTTTAGGTTTTCACAGCCAACACGGATAACAACACACCAGTAACAAATCTACTGGACAACCCAGTTGTTGCCCGTTTTGTGCGCTTCGTGGTTCAGTCCTGGAATATTCACATCACCATGAGGGCGGAGATTCTAGGCTGCAGCACTGACAGTAGGTTTCTGTTGCCGTCTTGGTTAGAGTCTAGCTCACTTGCCTGACAGCAAATACAGATCACAGGTGGTGGGATGTAGTCCATGGAGAAAAATGGGCTTTTAGCCATTCATGTCATAGGGTCAAGGGAAAGGGGTACAGAGTCAAGAAAAGTGTCATTTCTGGTATTGTTGATTTAGTTTATTAAATAGTTATTATTCAAAATGAAATAAAAATTATATCAAGCTGAAAATTTACAGGATCTAAATATCTCCTGCCGTTGTATGTATAACAGTTGATGGCGGTTGGTCCGACTGGTCATACCATGTGTAGTTATGAAATCTACGCCACAGCCACTCCTCACGACATATTCGAAAACATAACCTTTTTGTTGAACCTATTAAATCTGTGGACAAACGTTAATTTCAAGTTTGCTGATTGTTATGTTTACCGAAGAAAGCGGTAAACATATTGTTATGTTTACCGAAGAAAGCGGTNAAACAAGTATGATGTTTTTAAAAAAAACACAGGCGACGATTTTGTGTTTAACTGTTCCGTTCTTTATAAATCTTTTTTTTTCAAATACGTACACATATAATTCAGAAAGAATCCAGAATTTCTGTACAGTACGAGGAAAGCCGTCAGGGGTCCAAAATCAGTTAGACCCAGGTAAATTTATGTTGTGTTTCTAGCCCTTGAAAAATTAGAATCGCTAGATAGGGATTCACCTTTTTTATCTGTCTTTTGTTTTCTTCATAGATCTTTATAATTAGTGATCCAACTAATACAGTTCATATAACAATGAAATGTATAAGTACACTGGTATCTTTAACACCACCCTAATTTCGCCCCTAGAGATATAATAGTGAAACGCCGTCTTGGGATTACCGTAAATTCCCGAAAGTACGCACCCCTTGTGCTTCTGTGCATGTAGCATGTATGTCTTAAAAACAGTTAGTTCTAGAAAATATCGTTTAAAAATAAATTTAGGCCGTGTACTATATACGTGATTGCATGATAACTGGATACAGTATTGTAGCGGGAAGCGTTTCGTGTTGGGGCTAGTTTTCATCGCTGGCTGCAGCCGATTTGCAAGACGTCACCACCGCATCGAAGGGTAAGGCAAGTGCGGCGAAACGTACAGCTTTGGATCACGGAGAGTGTTGGTGATCAAGCAAGCAATGGTCAATAAAGATTTGTGAATATTTCAATAATGGTTTTATCGGTAACAAGGGTTATAATGTTGATGCACAAGTACGTAGCTTTGT